GGTTGACTCAGCCTTCCATCCTTCCGAGGTGGGTGAAATGAGGACCCAGACTGTGGGGGGCGATATGCCGACTCTGTAAACCGCTTAGAGAGGGCTGAAAGACCTATGAAGCGGTATATAAGTCTAACTGCTATTGCTAAGTTCATATGCGAGGAAAGACAGGGGAGCGAATACTTTTGGCAATAGAGTGTACATCCACCCGGGTTGGGAGTTCGAGGTTATGCAGCTCTACTTCCCTGCGGTTGACAACTTGCCGCCACAGTTGATGGTCTGAATGCAGCCGAATGTCCCTGTCGGCTCCCCAGCCCCTCCCCTTCCTCCACTTACTGGACAATATCATTGATGGGGATGTTCAGCAGCCTCTCATCCAGCGTCCTCACGTCCACCGTGCAGCCAATCAGGGCCTGAGGTTGGGTGGGAGTAAGAAGAGAGAGGCCTGCTGAGATATGCTATCCGAGAAGGACATGTTGCTAGTACTAGAAGGGGATGGAGATTGCAGAGGGGAGGAGGGGGAGGAAGAGAAGAAGAAGAAGAGAAAATGGAGGAGGAGGAGGAGGAGGAGGAGGAAAGGATGAAGAGGAGGAAATGGAGAAGGTGGAAGAGGTGAAGGAGGAGGAGGAGAAGAAGACAAAGAGGAGGAAGAGAAAATGGAGGACGTGGAAGAGGAGGAGGAGGAGAAGAGGAAGAAGATGACGATGAGAAAATGAAGGAGGTGGAAGAGGAGGAAGAGAAGAGGAAGAAGAGGAGAAAACGAGGGAGGTGGAAGAGGAGGAGGAGGAGGAGGAGAAAAGGAGGAAGAGGAGGAAATGGAGAAGGTGGAAGAGGTGAAGGAGGAGGAGAAGAAGACAAAGAGGAGGAAGAGAAAATGGAGGAGGTGGAAGACGAGGAGGAGGAGAAGAAGATGAAGATGAGAAAATGAAGGAGGTGGAAGAGGAGGAAGAGGAAGAAGAGGAGAAAATGAAGGAGGTGGAAGAGGAGGAGGAAACCTTGGTGCTCTCTGAGCTTGGTGATTTTCTTGCAGACCTTTCATTGCCCAGCTAGATAATTTCATCAGTGCTGTGAGAGAGTGGGCTTTGCAGTGTCAGGGTGATGACGATTTAATAGCTGACCAGCCGCTGTAAGGCTGTAAACTGAGATGATGACATGAGGATGAGTCAGCAGGGTCACTGCCACTTTAAGAAGCTGTATATATATAAGGGAGGCCATGTGTTGGCCCCTCCCTCCCTCCCTCTCCTTGTGTTCTATCTGCATTGTAATTCTGCCTGTAGAGTTGCAGATTGATTGACTTCCTAGTATTTGCCTAACAATGTGTGCGTATATAAGCCTTGTACATAAACCACGGTTTAAAAGACAAAACCTTTGTGTACTGTGTTTTGCTCCTGGGTTGTATCAAAATAGTAGTCACTCTCTGCGCAGTCGCCACATGTAGTGTGGAGGAAGGAGAAGACGGGAAGAGAAGGAGGAACACAAGTGATCAAAGCACCTTTGGAAGAGCTCAACGGCCATGTTGGTGATCGATCCTCATGGAGAAGATCTATCCATGAAGTTGCTAAGACTCCTTACCAGCTTGATGGCCCATCAACGAGTAAACCAGTGGTTCCCAAACTTGGCAACTTTAAGACTTGTGGACTTCAACTCCCAGAATTCTCCAGCCAGCAGAGTTGAAGTCCACAAGTCTTAAAGTTGCCAAGTTTGGGAACCACTGGAAGTAAATCAAAAGTAAACCAACTACGGTTATATACCAGAGACGGACACTCCGCCTGTGTGTGTCATTGTGTGTGTGTGTGTGTGGGAGTGAGTGTCANTGGTTAATTGTCCTCACTGTTAGAAAATTCCTCCTCCGTTCTCAGTTGCTTCTCTCCTTGATGAGTTTCCACCCATTGCTTCTTGTTCTGCCCTCAGGTGCCTTGGAGAATAGTTTGATTCCCTCTTCTTTGTGGCAACCCCTGAGATATTGGAAGGAAGGAAGGAAGGAGAACAGAAAGGAGGAGAGAAGGAAGGAAGGAAGGAAGGAAGGAGGGAGGAGAGAAGGAAGGAAGGAAGCAAGGATCTCTCCTTGGTTAATTTCCACCCAATGCTTCTTCCCCTGCCTTCAGGTGCCTTGGAGAATAGCTTGACCCCCTCTTCTTTGGGGCAACCTCAGAGATATTGGAAGGAAGGAAGGAAGGTGGGAGGGAAGGAAGGTGGGAGAGAAAGAAGGGAAGGAGGAGAGAAGGAAGGACGCAAGGATCTCTCCTTGGTTAGTTTCCACCCGTTGCTTCTTGTCCTGCGTTCCAATCCTTTGGAGAAGAGCTTGACCCCCTCCTCTCTGGGGAAGCCCCTCAAATATTGGAAGACGCCTATCCTGCTCTCCCCTGGTCCTCCTTTTTCTCTAGACTAGCCAAAACCAAATCCTGCATCTGAACTCAATTAGAAAACTTTTTAATTTATTTCCAAAAAAGGGGAGTGGGGGGAGAGCGGCTGGGGGGGGGTTTCTTCTGGTAATGCCCTTCACATCAACAGGGCTTCTCTCACCAAAGCCTTCTTGGCCGGGGTCAGCCGTGCTGGGAAGACGATGTCGAAGTACATGAAGAGGTCTCCCTTACAGGTGGGGTCTTGCGGGAGGGGCATCCCCTCCCCGGGGACCACTTTGAAGTACTTCGGGCTGCGAAAGGAAGGAGGAGAGGCCGTTCAGAGCCCCGACACGTACAGACCGCCCCCCCCCCCACACGTACGGTCGTTTGTTTTAGTGACCGTTTCGAGTTGCAACGGCACCGAACGCTTCGCTCGCGAGAAAGTCCCCAGGCGGCTCGTCGGAAGTTTTGCAAAAGGGGAAATCGTACGACACGCCCACCCCCCACCCCCCCGGGAGACGGTAACCGTCATAAATGTGAGAATGGCTAAAAAGGTAACCGTGGGGCTGCGGCAATGGTCGTAAGTGTGGGAAAGGGTCGTAAGTCACTTAGGAGTGGCATTGCAACATCTGACGGTCGCTGAAAGGACGGTTGTAAGTACTTGGGTAGAAATATCTCCTGCCAAATACACTATATTGCCAAAAGTATTCGCTCTCCCATCCAAGTAATCAGAATCAGAGCCGAGGTGGCGCAGTGGTTAAATGCAGCACTGCAGGCTACTTCAGCTGACTGCAGTTCAGCAGTTCGG